TTTATGTCAAACATGTTTGACTACACGTTTGGCGCGATGACTGGGCAACTGGCTGCTGTGCAACGTGTTGCGGGTTCGATTCACGCACGGAACAACACCTTGTATGATCCACAAATTGTTGCTTCGGGTCTGCATATGTAAATGCACCAACGACAAAGGAGAAAATCCTAGAGTTGAACAACGCTTTTTTGAAAAAAAACCGCTTTTCCTTCTTTAAAATCTCACATACGAATTTATTTGACACTGAGAAAACTTTCTAAGCGGCTCCTAATTAACAAAAACTCTTTAATACGTGGCTCACCCCATTACGTGCCAATTAAGAGAATAATGACAATAATCAACGGGGCTACCAGACTTTAGAAAAGGGAAGTTCAACCGCGGCTTAGAACAACTGACAATAGGACGCGAGTGGAACTAATTACCGACAAGATTACTAGCTGCGTCAATTTGTTTTGTTAAATGTAATTGTTTTGTGTTGGCGCCATTTTTAAAAAAAGGTTCTTTCTATTTTTGAATTTTATTTAGATTGTTTTCTTTTTGTTTTTTTTTTCTATTATTTGACATTGCGGATAAGGTTCTACATGGATGTATGAAAGGAAATTAAAATTGTGATGACAGGTAAACATCATTTTATAAGTACTTTGTATGATAGAGAATTTCGCCAAGTGTGACTGCACGGTTGGTGCGGTGGCTGGGCAACTGGCTGCCGTGCAATGTGTCGCGGGTTCGATTCCCGCACGGAACAACAGTTTGTGCGATCCACAAATTGTTGTTTCGGGTCTGGGTGTGATGTGCATGTGAAATTGTATGTTTGTAAACGCACCCGCGACACAGCTGAAAGTTCTAGTGTGGGGCTAAGTTTAAAAAAAAGAATATGGCTGGCTGGCAAAATTGACACGAACAATTCCATAAGCGATGCATAAATTCTAGTTTCTAAATTTGAAATTATACTTTCGAAACCGCACTCGTGTAAGAGGAGAAAATCCTATCCTCTGCGAGTATTTTATAAATGTTAGAAATAATTTTGTTGGACCCAACCAAACGGTCAAAAAGCTTCTACACGGACAAACCACAACACACCGCAAATCTAATGATGGTATTAAACCTGAATGAAATGGTGTAGGTCGACAAAGTAATGCGGGGCCCGATTTTAATTATGGACCTACGTAACAACCCGCCAGTAATTTTGTCTGTGCCAGAGATTCGTGGTCAAAAGCGGTCGACTAAGGAATTTAGTGTATCGCACAGCCTTCGCTATACCTGCATGGAATTTGTACTTGCTATAACTTACTGTTTTATCCCTGCAAAGAATTTTGTTATTTCATATTATAGGTACATAACTTGCAACAGATGGAAAGAATAATAGAGATGTCTGATTTGGTGGTTACATCATGAAAACCTGAAACAAAAAAAATGCTGAAAAGTGGCCGTGTCAAGTAGGTACCGGGTGTCTGTGTCTGTCAGACCCACTGCTGCGATGGACACTTGATTCGACGAACAACGTCGCGTGAACGTTTTTGAGGGTCCGTCAACAGATAATTTACTGTTCTAATAGTGAGGATCAATGATGTACGAGTTCTTTTATTTTCTAAAGTATGGACCACAGAAATATGATCAGACTCAGCTAATAGAAATATGATCAGCCTACCAAGGTATTCAAATTATAATTTTCCGCGTTAATACCCGCGTAAATATAATGTTGTTAAGATGAAACGCGAAAGTTTAAAAGTTAGTATAGCAAACCGCTACGGGTCGAAAATATGATCAGGTCTGTAAAAACCTTTTTTTACTGTTTAGGGATACAGAATACAGATTTTTTTTCCAATATTTTTTAATTTAATATCATTCTTCATTTTTGATAATAAATCACATTAAAACTACACGAAATACAATTTATAAAAGGAACACCTGGTGCACGATACATATCTACGACTACTAATAAGATTTTAATTTGGAAGGAATAAGAATCTAGCTTTGTAATTTATCAAAATTAAATTTAGTTAAATCAAAGACTGTAGCATATTTGAACAGTCTGTCTGTACTGGTGACAACGTAATTATTTCGACAACTAGTAAAACTTTTGACAAAGTAAAAGGAAAGGCAGTCAGTCCCTTATAATTTTCGCCGGAAACTTAACTAACTACAGAATCTGGATGAATGCGGAATTCTCTAGAAGCCACGCGGCGCGCGGCGTGCGGCGCACCAATTTCTGTTTTAATTTAAATTTCGTAAGTTACTATAGATATTTTTAAATATGGAATTCATAATGTTTGTATCCTCAATATAATATCCTAATACCTATGCAAAATGGCAGGGTGTGAACACCAAAAAAATTTATTCAGTATGGTAAGTCAATTAAGTAGATAAAACATATATGAGATAAATATTTTTACTTTGCTGTATAAAAAATAAAAAGAATCAAATTTAGGAGTGAGCGCTAGCTACATCACCGCTCAATGTAAAATATACTAAATTGTAGTTCTCGTAATTTCAAATCAATATAATAAAAACAATTAATTAACGTGGTAAGAGTTTCCATACATTTTTTCAGGTCAAAAGCGTATAACTACGCAACCGAATTTATTAAATTGAGTAATCATACGAAATATATTTTATCAAGGTCTAAATACACCTAGACTTACTAGACGGGAGCTTATAGTGGCCTGAAATCGCTGCATGGTCTCCGATGCCCGGTGTGTTTCTGTGGGGGCTGGGGGTGAGGAACTGCATGGCCTCTTGCTCTCTGCCTCCTTTTTTGTGAAACTGCTTCGCTGAAGTAAAAAATTATTCCCAGTTGCTGTTTCACTGCAAGAAATCTACACCAGCGATCACTTCCCCGAAAACACGGCGACGCTCTGTCCAAGCAGGGAACATTAACACCATATGCTCCATACTAAAAAAATAATAATAATAGATGTACCCACTAGTGCATAGCAACCCATACCCATAACCCTATCAATTTTTGCCACATTTTACAATAGTCCTGCATCAGCGGGGATTGTCCTTGGGTGCACCTTTATAGTGCATACAGGGATAATTGCCGGCTGATGTCCCATCACATTTAGATTAAAATTGTTCAACGGGCCTCTGCGAGTTGGCTTCGGCTCCTCGTATGCCTTCCAAAGGTCCGGGACCCTGTGGTCCCGTGAAAGGAAAGAACAAACAAATAGATGTACGATACCTTTAAAAAATCCAAAACACAATCACGTTACTTAGTCAGAAAACACCTATTGCCTAAAAAAACTACCTTGTCTGATGGTAAGCAATCGATGCAGCCCCAGCATACCAGCATATCCTCAAGATTGAGTTACATGCGCTGGCTGTAAGTACCAGATATTTGGAGGTTAGGGATTTGAAAATTGTTTTTTTTTCGCTCTCTCGCAATTTAAAACTTATTGTCGCATCACCATAAATATTCATTAGTTTTCTAGCTATTACAATCTAGTCTAGTGTAGACAGTACATTCGGAAGGACGGACGAAGAAGTAATACGCTACCCAGTTTTACAGTTAGGACACGGAACCCTAAAATTAGCCGTCTTAGCATTACACGCGTTGAATTGCTATTACTATTACCGTTACTATGTAAACAAAACTCGTGGTCACAATTAATTAAATCAATTACTTTGTCAACTAAACACATTGTATTTAACAAGATTATGAAAGAACTAAAGTTTTTAATTGGAATTTTATTTACATCGGATTATAATATTTAATGACATTTTGTTAGTGAAAATGTTCCATTGCCATTAATATTATGTTTGAAATGAAAAATATTAGGTTTTTCCCGCGACTTGACTGTTGACTTAAGTTACTTTGAGTAAAGCAAAGTTATTTTGGAGGTATAACGGTAAATTAATGCATCTTAACAAATTTTAAATAAGAAGGTACTTTTAGGGTTGTTTTTTGAATGGAAAATCATCAGATAACTTCCCTCGCCCTGGGCGGTGAGAGGGAGTGTTATACTCCCACTGATTAAAAACTAACCCGTTCCTTTTGCTTTAGGCAGAGGAGGCCGAATCTTATAGCGTTTGACCTGCAACTCCGGCTAACGGAAGGGATAAGGATTCTATCGGTGCCAATCTTGCTATTGAAGTTATTGAGCAAAGCCCTGTGTTTGGCAGTATAGTTCGCTCCATAATTAGAGACAACGATTTGACATTTCAAGTGTTGCAAGTTTTTTCCATTTCATAAATAGTGAAGTCCCGCGACCGGTATTGACCGAAAGACCGAAATTAAATTCTGGACTTCGTGCATTTTAAAATCTTTATTATTTTTAGCTACTTTCCCTGGTACGTTCCTGTGCCCATACTAACTCAGTCGGGTTAAAATCACAATGGTAAGGAGGCAAAAGTAAAATAGTGACCCCCCCTTTTAGCAGCCATCAGTCCACGACGTATCATTCATAATTACTCTTCTCTTTCCGGGAAATCTCCAACAGCTCGGCTTTCAACATAGGTTCCTCAAATATAATGTTTTTCTTTTAGTCAGTCTTGGATTTCGCATTTTTATTTTAAATTATTATTATCAATTCGACTAAACTATAAAAAAACATCACCGCAACGTTGTTTTATTTTGCTCAGGGTATTTTATAAAAAAACGGTATTGGTATTTTATTTAAAACACCGTACTCGGGCCCATCACTATGTTGAAAAATTTGGCCACATTATTTTGTAGTTTGACATTTACCGTTGTCAAATTGTTGTCTCTAATTATGGAACGAACTATAGACATGTGGATGTTGAAATAAATTCTATCGTATTCGTAAACAACAGTTAATGTTCACTGAAGAAAATTCGAATACTTGATGCACGAACAAACAGTACATGAATTGAAATTAATGATATGCTAAACATTGATTACATTATACCAAAACAGAGAAACGAGTTAACTTGAAAAATTTAAATACAACTATTACATTTAACTCAGTAAGCTTTGAACTCTAATGTGAGTAATACGTAAAGAAAATTTTAAAAATTAAAAAGTAGAAACGTTAATAAAGATGGCGCCGATAACAACAGCTGAGGACAGGCTGCAGTCGGGACACCGGCTGTCGCATCCTCCACCCGGAGACGAGGTCCTCATCACAGGCGTGTCGGGATACTTCCCCGACTCAGACTCCGTCATACACCTGCAGGAAAACCTTTTTAATAAGGTAAGTTATTCGATAAGGCCCACGAGGAGACAAACCCAGTTATCAAAATAAATATAATACATTACACATCACATTACACATATTATCATCACAGTATTTATTTATTTATTTATTTATTACACTCTGGAGGACTTACAGCTTAATCTAACTAAAAATAGAAGCCAACATAAACTACTGAAAGCCAATTACAAGTTCTCACGTATAGTGACAGACTTAAAATTAAGAAGCGAGCATATCAATATTTTTACAGTGATTACAGCTTATTATACAAGTAAATTGCAAGGATCAATGAGTATTAACAAGAAACCTTTAGTTAACAAAAGAAAAAAAAATACTAAGTAATACAAATATTCAAAACATTTCCGAAAACTAGGGATACAATCAAAATGCTACTTAAAAAACTTTAGGCTAATACGTCTTCTGGCCGACGCCACGCCAGTCGCAAAGGGATCAAAGTCATACTGCTTACATAAATTATTGAACTGTCTACTCGCTCGTACAATGAAACTATTCTGTCTGTAATTTGTTGATGCTAGAGGCACACGTAAGGGTGGGTTATTGCGGAATAATTTTTGCGGTACATTAAAGTGAAATTTAGATAGAAGTTCGGGGCTGTCAATAATGTTATTGAAGATTTTTAATACGTACAGAAAGTCGGCAATCTCACGTCGATCTTTGGGAGGTAATAAATGATATTTTTTACAGAGTCGAAGGTAATCGATGGAGTGATAAGGGATTTTTTGATGAAAACAAAGATATTTAATGAAGCGTCTTTGGATGTTTTCTATTCGGTCGATATACTTGTGGTAACGTGGGTTCCATATCTGAGACGCATACTCAAGCTGACTTCTGACAAAGGTGCAATACAGAATTTTTAGTGTTTTTGCGTTATTAAAGCACTTAGAGAGACGCATAATAAACCCAAGCAATTTAGAGGCTTTTTTGATAATAGTGTCAATGTGGGTGTCAAAAAGTAATTTGCTATCCTGATGCACACCTAAGTCACGAATAGAATCACACCTTGGCAAAGTCTGGCCCGATAAGATGTAGTTGGTGACTAGAGCGGCACGTTTCCTCGTGTAAGTAATTACTGAACACTTGGATGGATTCAGATCGAGTTTATTAGCCCTACAGTAGTCTTCAAGACGGTATAGATCTGCCTGTAGTAGGTTCATCATCATTACTTTAATGATTTGTCAGCTACAAGCATGAACCATCTTATTAATTTACGAATAACAATGGTTTCCAAATTCAATAATTTTCTTCTAACCTACAATTAAGAAATCCAATCCAAATTATAATCGAATGCAATTTTTAAATAACAATAAATTATTTTTTAACAATCGATTACTCTTGAAACGTTGCAACAACATCCTAAAATTAACGAAGTACGTATGTTCGTGTCATTCCACTACGGCTCTCATATCACAAATTCTTCACAGGTGGACTTAGTCAGCAATGATACCCGTCGTTGGAAGCTGGTACACCCTGAGATCCCGCACCGCACCGGCAAGATCAACAACCTCAACAAATTCGACGCGTCATTCTTTGGTGTGCATTTTAAAGAAGCTCATACCATGGATCCCATGTGCAGGATGATGTTGGAGAAGGCTTATGAAGCAATCTTTGACGCTGGTGGGTAGAGCTACATCTTTGCATTTTTAGATAAATAGTGAACGTCATAATTATATTGCAGGACGGACGTCGCAGCACTGCGGCCACGGTCTAAAGCAGGAGAAGGAACGGGGGCGTTTTTAGTCAGTAAGAGTCTGACACTCTCTCTCGCCTTACCCTGGACGGGAGAAGTCATTTGGTGATTTTACCCTGACAAAAAAGGGCCGGACGCCGTAGGCGGGGTAGAAAATGCAAAGGCAGGTGGAAAAGATGGCGTGATGATCTAGATAGACCCTTTCGTCGAGACTAGTGGACATGGTCGCAAGATCGGGAGGTGTGGAAGCGAGATGGGGAGGCCTTTGCCCAGCAGTGGGACATAATTGGCTAGTAAAAAACTATGTAATTGTAATAAGGTGATCTATAACTAAAATTTTACAATCCACAGGTATGAACCCCAAAGAGATCCGCGAAAAAAAAGTCGGTGTATTTATTGGTGCTTGCTTTTCTGAATCGGAGAAAACATGGTTTTATGAGAAAATGGTAATCAATAATCATGGCATCAGTGGGTAAGATAATCTGTACTAATAGTAGAAAAAAGGAAAGATTTGATTGTTTTTTTGTTTGGCTTTAATGGACCCTTGAACTATAGACTGATTTTGATTCATTGTGTAGTTTCCTAGGTCAAAAAAATAATAATTCGACGTTTCAATACAATAAAATATTGAAAAATAACTCTACTTTTATTCATCGATCAATAATCGATGCACTAAGTTTTAGATATTTTGTAGTTAATTATTAAGAAATAAGTAAACTATTTTACGCAAAAAGACAATGACGTCATAACTCAGTTTTTCATACAAATTTTATCTAAACGTGTCGTTTTTGACATTTGAATAAAAAGTATTGAATTTGATTTGTTGGAAACTGCCGTATGTTTCACTGCTGGCCAGATAGACTATCCCCAGCAAATACCGGCTAAAAGCTACGAGAGTGGGACGCAGCTTGTAATATCTATAACACTCTCATACAAATGAAATAACAGAATTGTTAAGATAAAAACAAAACAGTTTACAATGAATTCTTTTTCAGGTGTTCTCGAGCTATGTTGGCCAATCGGATCTCCTACTGGTTGGGTGTGACTGGTCCCTCATATACTATAGACACTGCTTGCTCCAGTTCCTTCTATGCACTAGTGCATGCTTATAGAGCTATCCGTGATGGTCACTGTGATGCTGCTATCGTCGGAGGATGTAACGTGTGTCTCCATCCTTATGTATCATTACAATTTGCCAGGTAAGAAAATAGAATGCAAAATATTTAAAAAGATTTTGAAATCGACAATCATATGTAACTATGATGTTGTGCTTCAGAGTGAAGTTAGCAGACCAACCCACCATTTCCCTATCCTTAAATCCCTTATAACCCACAAGAGGCTGCCAATGCACTTGTAGTAACTCCTTTGATCTTGCGAGTGTCCATGTTGGGCGCTGATTGTTTACCACCAGTAAATCCGTCTGCTCGTTTGCCAAATTATGATATCAAGAAATGTATAGAGCCAAATAGGTAATATGATTACGATGGTACGGACAATGACTTTGAAGAAAACCCAAATCTTTATGACAGTAGAGAGTAAACTTATTATCGGATATGTGGACTAGATTTATGTTTTCTAAAACATCTTGCTTAACTATTTTAGGCAAGGAGTGCTATCGCCTGATGGCGTTTGTAAGAGTTTCGACAATAGTGCCAATGGTTACGCTCGTTCAGAAGCGATAGTGGTGGTCTTTTTGCAGAAAGCTAAGGATTCCAGGAGGTAAGTCAGGGCTGTTCATTATGTTATCATTTTCTGCACTAGCCGGTTGTGGGGCAAGTGTAAAAAGGAACCTCGGGCTCGGCCTGAAGCAGGAATAGGAGAGGAGTAGTTTTTAGTCTTGGGTGAGTCTTGGATCATTTTCTAGTCAGTTTTCAACACTCATAGTTAAAGATTTTATTTATCGAGTTGCACCAAGTTGGAAATTAATTAATGCCGATCCTGTATTCACTGTTTCATTTATAAATTCTCGAAATCGGAATTAAATATTTTCTTTTTCACCAGGGTTTACGCTCAGATGATACACGGCAAGACCAACTGTGATGGTTATAAAGAGCAGGGTATCTCATACCCTGCCAGTATTATTCAGAAGCTATTACTGGAAGAGTTCTATGAGGAGTGCGCCATTGCTCCATCCGTCTTGGAATATCTGGAGGCCCATGGCACAGGTACTACAAGTTTTATAATAAAATAATTACAATAGGTATCATTGTTCCTATTTCTGTCTCTTTATATTTGGATTTTTAAATTCGACTCACAAGCAATCCTAATACCCTACAAATATGGCTTACACAACACGTCATCGATTCAAGTTGATTATCCAACTAACACACACGAAGCGGTTTGCCTTTCCAGTTTTATTATTAGAATCGCGAAGTAGTGAAATTCTTTGCCGGAGTCTGAGTTTCCCGGAAGGTACACCTAGAGGTTTTGAAGGTCCGAGTGAATAGGTCGTTTATGGGTAGGCGTGCTCCATCGTAGGTTGCAACGCCGGCCTATTACAAAAAATAAGTTACACTAAACCGACAACCAGCAAACGAGACCACGTTACTAACAGCCAAACAAATTCTTATAACCAGGCACCAAAGTCGGAGATCCTCAAGAGTTGCAGGCCATTGACGAGATCTTCTGTACCGGCCGTAGTGAACCTCTATTGATTGGCTCCGTCAAGTCCAATTTGGGGCATAGCGAGCCTGCCTCCGGACTCTGCTCTATTGCAAAGGTAGGAATCTGCTGCTACGACTGACTCCCGTGGACTTTTTCATAAATATTAAAATATCCAACTTCTTTTTCCAGATGTGTATAGCTTACAATACTGGTTTTATTCCTCCTAATATTCATTTTAAAACGCCTCGTGAAGGAGTAGCGGCTTTGGCTGCGAAAAGAGTTTCGGTGGTGACAGAAAAAACTCCTTGGGGGCGGGGCATGTCTGGAGTCAACGGTTTTGGATTTGGAGGAGCCAATGCGCACGCTCTGTTAAAGAATGTCGCTAGGCCAAAGGTAATGGAATAATTTACACGTTTTCCTTATTACCCGACTGCCAAAGAAGGAGGGTAATGTTTTTCGAGTGTATGTAAGTATGTATGTATGTCTTTTCCTTTGTGACCTCCTGTAGCCTAAACGGCTTGATGGATTTTGATGTATGAGGTATCGTTAGATTTGTCTTGTTTCTATATCCTGAATTCTAACTACTGATTTCCGAGTATAAATATTTTTGTCACATCATGTGTTGACTAAACGCCTCTTCTTACTCGAAGAAAGTGTAAGCTTCGCTTAAGGCGGGTTGGTTATTTCAAACTTAAAATTAGAATTTATAAATCTATGTTTACTCATAGTGTATTAATTTATCGTTAGTCGGTCGGTAGTTAGAAAGCCTATATAACTTAAAAAAGTCACATTTTCTGGTTCTAGCTAGGTTTCAGTCCCGCACTTATGGAATAACATGCCAAGCGAGAGCCTTAACTTCCGAGCCCCCACGACGCTTCAATTATGGTTTAAGACGAAATCCTCATCTTGCTAATTGTCAAAACCCTTTTCTTCAGGTCAACAACGGTATACCATCTGATGACTTGCCTCGTCTCGCTTGTGTGTCAGGACGCACGGAGTCCGCCGTAGCCAGGATCCTGGATGACTTGGAGACGAGGACTGTAGACGTTGATCTAATCCGTTTACTACACGCAATTCACGCTGATGATATTGACGGACATGGTTTTAGGGGATACACTCTACTTGGTAATATTGAATTTAAATAACAGAGCATTTGCAAATTACTCACTCAGTGTTCAATACGGGTAATGTGTATGCTAATATCTATTTCATAAAATATTTACATCATCAGCGTATAAGTTACTGAGTGGAGTCCTCATTTTACAAGGAAAAGGTGACCAAATCACCACGCTCGCTCAAGGCAGAGTGGTGATTTCAAACTTATAATTTGAAATTATAAGCCCAGGTTTTCTTCGCCTTTTTTGAATTTTCCTACAACGTGCGACTTTGGCGTCTAAATGAACTTACATAGAAAATCTTGAATATTATAAAACTAACATTAATTACTTGCCAGGTTTCTAACCCCCCTAGGGGCACCACGACGTTTTTATATTTATAAAAATTTAACTAAATAATTCATCGATCGTCGATCTTTTATAGATCCAACACATCACAATGTTTTAGGTTCAAGGCCAACAAAAAGTGTATCTCTTTCACGTGAAATCCAGCGCTTCTCAGGAGTTCGTCGCCCAGTGTGGTTCGTCTACTCGGGTATGGGCTCCCAATGGGCCGGTATGTGCAAGGAGCTCCTGAGAATCCCCGTCTTTGCTGCTGCTATTGAGAAGTAAGTTTTTTCATTGATCCGCTCATTATCAATAGCTGTTCCAGAAAAAGTAAGTACAATGATTCAATTAAAATAGTAAATAATTTATTGTACTACTTTCCAAGGTGCCACAAAGCTCTACAACCTAAAGGCATCAATCTGACGAAGATCATTACTGACCCCGACCCTAAGATCTACGACAACATCCTCAACTCTTTCATTGGTATCGCCGCTGTACAGATCGGTCTCACTGACGTATTAAAGACCATTGGCGTCGAACCTGATCATATCATTGGTGCGTAGTTTTTATTTGTAAAAGTTTTGTACTTGTTTCTGAAAATAAAATTTTTATTCCTGCGTTACCGGCCTTTTGGTAATTAGGAATTTGGGATTTGGAGATTTTGCGATTGAGAAGGGTTTGAAGGAGGGGAAGGGTTGGGCCTCCGATAAACTCACTCACACGGCGAAACACAATGGCCGTGGTATCATTCCAGTCGAGCTGACCCATTCATGACGTATTAACAAAAGTATACTAGCATTGTCTTCAATGTTTAATCAATTTGAATTCTCATAATTTTTTCAGAAAATTTAATATCAGTCTTACTCACAATCAATTCATTCATTCATTAAGACTTACGATTTTATTTGAAAAGGTATCAACATTGGTGAACTTGGATGCGCATATGCAGATGGCTGTATGACTGCAGAGGATATGATCTTATCCGCATACAGTAGAGGCTTAGCCTATAATAAGAAAACTTTCAGCAAGGATCCTATAATTGACATCGGTATTGCACAGGTAAATTTGCTAACTCTATAATGTATATTGTTTTTTCATACTCCAACTAATCTTTCCATGTCAATCTAAGAAAACGATTTCGCGTCTTAAAAGCCCATCCTATACATCTTTTTTTAACAATATTAAGTAAGTTATTTTATGTCTTTCTTGTTGAAGTAGGTTATGGAGAATTCCAAACAACGTTCCGAGAAGTGGGTCACCACGCCATTGCTGCAGGCGCAATGTGGAAATCTGAGGGCTTCACCTGAATGTTACATAAATGATGTCGAGGTATGTAATAAATCTTCTGCTTTATTGCTGTGGGTTATAGTCATTCTTGAATAGGATTTGAAGATATATTAGTAAGTTTTCCTTTAATCCACTATGCCTATATAGTTTATACTTTGCTTACTGGAGGTAACTAAACATAGAACTAATAATATTTTTATTGGAATCTCTTTCGTTGAACAGCACCCAGCACTATTCGATGAGATATCTCGTCTGATCCACGCTAACGCATTTGTAATCGAAATCGCCCCTCATGGTATGCTGCAAGCCATCTTGCGCAGGTCTCTGAAAAAAGACGTCATCACCGTTAGTTTGGCACAGATGGACCACCCGGACAATGTCGAGGTTCTGTTCACTGCCATTGGAAAGTAAGTAAAGGTTTTATACTGATTCTAAATTAGATTTTATGCTTGGTATCTACCTATATATTTATAAATTCAATTCAATTCCACAGACTGTATGAATCTGGTCTTAACCCACAACTTGCCAATATCTACCCAAACGTGTCCTTTCCCGTGCCACTGGGTACGCCTATGCTTGCCCACCTCGTCGAATGGGAACACAGTGAAAACTGGTAAGTCATTCATTAATCTTATAAACCCTTATATCAGTCTGCTCAACATAAAATATGAAATTTAGAATGATTTGGCCACATGTGTCCGTATTTTGTCTTTAGGTTCGTAGCATCATACAATGACTTAGATAAATTGATGGTTGGCGAAAGAATGGTTTGGATATCAATTGATGATGACGAATCTGAATTCATGGCTGGTCATGTCATTGATGGTAAGTAAAATAGTAATTATAATAATGCCCACCATAGGATTTTTGTTATGTAATGATCTGATCATGTATATACGCATATTGAGTATAGAGCATATAAACGCATACGCGTGTTGAGTTTTGGACCCAAACTAGAACAAGGACTGGGAGATGCCAATAAAATTAAATCACCAGTTTTCTTTTCTCACAGGTTCATTGTCCAATAGATCAAAATAGATATCATTGAACAAAAGCTAACACTAACCGAAGTAGCCTTTGCTGCAAAATGATCGCTATGACAACCAAATCTATTTGAATAAAACTTATTAAACTGTTTATTTTCTTTATTTAGGTCGTAACTTATACCCTGCTACCGGCTATCTACTCCTGGTATGGGAAACCCTTGGTATGATGATGGGAGGATCTTACACTGACATATCAGTAGTCTTCGAAAATGTGCGCTTTCAGAGAGCCACGAACATTCCCAAAGAAGGCTCTCTAGAGTTTACTATAACGATCCACAAAAATAGCGGCAACTTTGAGGTAAAATCTTAGAATAGTCAATTCATATTATGGTGCTTAATACTATCGTCTTGTTAATATAGGGAAAACTGATAAATAAATATTTTTATTTTTAGGCATAACTGGTCGAGTAACTGACGACCCAAATGAATCTATAATAATTATTAATTATGTTGATTAATTTAACTTTTCAAGATCTCTGAAAGTGGTGTTCCCGTTGTGACTGGTTGCATCTACGCTAAGAAAAATGTCAGCCAAGATTTTAGGGTTCTACAACACTTGCCAGAAGTCAGTGGTCCATTCATCAAGAGCTTGCTAACCAAGGACTTCTACAAAGAACTGCGCCTCAGAGGATATCAGTACAGGTTAGAAATTAAAGAAAAAAAAATTGGCTTTATTAATGTACAACTACTTCTATAGCAAAAAGATGGGTTCGCAGAAGAAAATCTAATTACTCTATTTTCCCAAACAGTGGCCTTTTCCGTGGCGTTCTTGGCTGTAACGTCGAGTCTACCCGAGGTCGCCTCGCATGGGTCAACAATTGGGTCACCTTCATGGACTGCATGCTGCAGATGAAGATCATTGGCCAAGACACCAGGGGTCTCTTCGTCCCCACCAGGATTGAGAAACTCTCCATCGATGCTCCTATGCATTGCAGCGCAATATCAAAAATGAATCCTGATTCGGATAAAAAGTCGTTTGAAGTTCGCGTGTACCCAGATGTTAATGTTATCAGGTGAGGCATTAATTAAAATACCATAATATCATTATGTGGTATTTAGTAAAAGATGTACATATGTTTATGGAACAACAGAAATAAAGTCTTGGTTGATAAACCTACTAATGATTTATTTTGCCCAGGGCTGGCGGTATCGAAATCCGGGGTCTTCATGCTACACCCATTACCAAAAAGCCACCTCTTGGCATACCCGTATTCGAGAAGTACGAGTTTATTCCTAACTTTGCAAAATCTAAGGTTAAGGTAATTGTCAGTCAAATTAAATATGTAGCATTATTTACTGTAAATTATTTCATAACTATAGTAAATTTGAAATTATTACAAGACAGAAGATGTCCTCCGTGCCAACATCCAGCTGGTCCTCGAGAACGTTCAAACGTATAAAGTAAAAAGTATTGAGTTGGTAGATGAAGAATATACGAAGAATGACCTAAAACCTTTGCTAGAATACGTTGGAAACATACTTGGAGATCTGCCCCTGGTCGAAGCTGATCTATTGCTAATTTCTGAAGAGCCCATTGAGATGCCATCGAACATTACTGTTGGGACCAGGAAACTGACTGCAGAGAGTAATACAATACTGTTTATTGGTGCTAATCTCCTTGGCAGACCTGAGGTAGGCCTCGGTATAATTCATTTACAGATACATTTTAGTTTGCTATTAAATATTATATATTTTTTATTAATTGTTATAGATTCTTCAACAAGCAATTGGTACCCTCCGCGATAAAGCCTTTATAATGAGCCGCGAAAAAGACCGTCCCGATCCTAACAAATTCAGTGACAAATATGACATTGACATCGACACTATTTACGACACAGGTTTTGAATATATGGTGCTCTTACGAAAACGTGTTCAACTTAGACGAGGCAAGTTCATTAGAATTTTTGCTGCTGATGATACTTTCTCTTGGGTAGAAACAGTTAAAAAAGAACTCAAAGAAGGACATAAAGTGGTCCTTTACGCTCAAAATGAACATAACAACGGTCTGTTAGGATTAGTGAACTGTCTAAGAAAGGAGCCTGGTGGTGAGATCGTGTATGGCTTCCTTATTTCTGACCCATCAGCTCCTCCGTTCAGCCCTGGCTTAGAGTTTTATGAAGAACAGCTGAAAAAAGATTTGGCTTTTAACGTATACCAGGATGTAAGTAATATAGTTATCTAACTACTTTAAAAAGTAGACAAATATTATATAAAAAATTGTTATGTTTTTGATGATATCTTCTAGGGACATTGGGGTACTTACCGACACCTTCTCTTAAATGACTTAGAGACAGTTCGTGCGGATCATGCCTATGTTAATGCCCTCACCATCGGAGATCTTTCTTCACTAAAATGGGTCGAAGGAAGAATCAGGGAAAATCATGTGTTCAATGACAAAGAAAAAATGTTAATCCATGTAAGCCAACATTTTTTGTAATTTGTAAAACCTTTTTACTGTATAACAATGTAAATCTGATGTAATGGTGGCATGAGATGTACTAATTCTAGATATTTCAATCATCAGGTATATTGTGCAGCGTTAAACTTCCGTGACGTTATGACAGCTATTGGTCGTGTCACAGTCGATGCTATAGATCGTGGTCGTCTGGCTCAAGAATGCGTGATAGGTATAGAAGTTGTCGGTAAAACCGTCAAGTAAGTTGATTTATACAATTTGAAATTCATTTTCTTATTATTTGATGTCCACACAATTATATGTACAATCCATGACACGTTCAGAAGTGACTACACTATAACAGAGACATAAGCTGCTATATCAAATTTTTAACATTAAAATATTAACACATTGTAATATGTTACTTTTGCAGTGGCTCCCGAGTAATGGGTATGATCCGTAACCGTGGTATAGCCAACTTAGTTGAAGCAGATAGGAAGATTCTCTATCCTATACCAGACGAATGGAGCTTTGAGGAAGCCGCTACTGTGCCTGTTGCATATGGAACTGTATATTACGCTATGGTTAGTTTACCACACACTTATTGTGTGTGCACTTGTGCAGTGCTGAGTTGTTTGATTGCTAAATCCACCCAAACCATTATTCCAAAGGTTGCCTGATATCGTTGATACCGCTTTAGCAAGTGCACGGCCGCCTTGGTACCTTTCTTATTTTTTGCAAATTAATTTCGAAACTGTAAATTACCTACTTGATGAACAAAAATTTTTATACCTATCTATTATATGATTGTCTTGTAGATCATGTTTGGCGAAATGCAACGCGGCGAGTCCATCCTCATTCATGCTGGTTCTGGAGGTGTGGGTCAGGCCGCCATCAATGTAGCACTCCACTATGGCTGTCAAGTTTTCACTACCGTCGGTACGGCAGAGAAGAGAGCCTTCATCAAGAAGTTGTTTCCACAGCTTAAAGGTTAGTTCCCACTGGTGAAAAAAATGTAGACTGGGTCTAATGACGACTGGGTAAAACTATTCTCAAGGTAGACAGACGATCTGTTTAAGTCAATGCTGAAGATGTTCCGTAGTCAATGTTTCATGGCTGTATGATAATGATGATAGGTCTGGACAGTAGGCAACTGTAATAGTTAATCAAGTGAAGTAGCTGGGATATAAGAAATAAGATCGAATTTTGTATTTACTGTTTGTAATTCAAGGGAATATAATTATCGTCAACAGATAGTCACATTGGTAACTCCCGCGATACTTCTTTCGAAGACATGGTCAGACGTGAGACCAAGGGCAAGGGTGTTGACATCGTGCTAAACTCTTTATCGGATGACAAATTACAGGTCAGGTCCTTTAAAATACAGAAATTGATAGTATTTTCTCTGGGCCAGTAAAGCTTACATAGTTTTATAAATTGCTTAGGCATCAGTCCGTTGCCTGGCGTTCAGAGGTCGTTTCCTGGAGATCGGCAAGTTCGACATCAGTAACAATACTGCAATCGCCATGTACTTCGCGTCCAAGGAAATAACCTTCCACGGCGTCATGCTGAACTATATCTTTAATCAGGACGTCATGGTTAGAAGGGTCAGTAACTTTCTGTATTCCCACCTATTTTGTACCTCCTTTTTTATGGTCTTTAAGAGTTTTTTCTGATAGTGGTTGATATTTTGCTTATTTCACGAGCTTCTGTGACAATCATCAATGAACTACTTTATTCTACACAGATTGCATTTTGAAATAATACGTTTTTCATAAATCTTTAGTATTCTTGAAATAATTCGAAGTGTTTTTCATAACATTATCTTCAGCGCTTGCAAGATCTGCTTCAGAATGGCATTGAGAGTGGTGCCGTCAAACCACTTACGTATTGCACATTTGGGGCCAATGAAGTGGGAAACGCATTCCGTTACATGGCTGCTGGTAAACACATCGGAAAGGTAAACATATTATACAGAACTTAGACCTCAATTTTTGTAGACGAAGCAAACGTCATTTAATTTACTAAAACTTGCTGTACCTTCAAAATGGTGTAATTGTTTCGCTTGATTTTTGTAACTTAAATGTTTCAAGTGAATATCAAAGTATTTGGTTTGTGCATCTTAGACTTAAAAGAAAAACTTATTAAATTAACATTAAGTATATCCATCAATGGCATATACATTAGGTATTTATTGATGGACCTTCCGCAGGTGGTAATTAAGATACGTGAGGAAGAGCGCAGCAACCATCCCGTAAGACCAGTCCCAACATCTATTGATGCTGTACCCAGGTAATTTCTGTGTTCACTGTTTTGTCAATTGTTTTATCCAGTTACACCTTTGTTAATACCTATTCATCTCATATAATATCTCTTCCACCAGATACATCTGTCATGAGGACCACGTGTACATGGTGGTCGGTGGTCTCGGGGGTTTCGGTCTTGAGTTGGCTGACTGGCTCATCATGCGAGGCTGCAGAAAGATCCTGCTCACTTCCCGCAGGGGAATCAGCAACGGATACCAGTCGTTACGATTACGGTATTTGATTTACAAATCTTTTTTACTTCGTAATTAGAGAAATTTGGACTATTTGTACTTTGTAGATGCTTTTTCTACAATTATTAATATTTGATGACTATTTAGGGCCTGGACATCATACGGAGCTGACGTCCAGATTTCGACACATGACGTCACCACTGAGTCTGGATGCGAAGAAATGTTCAAGATGGCACTCACCATGGGACCCGTGCACGCTATCTTCAACTTGGCTGTCATTCTGAAGGACTCCATCTTCCAGAACCAAACTCCTGAGACCTTCAAAACATCGTTCGCACCTAAAGGGCGAACTACTATGCATTTAGACAAACTCTCCAGGAAACTGAGTCCAGATTTAAAGTAAGTAAATTTGATATTTCATAATTATTTTCAAAAGCGGAATATTATATTTAATCTAGAGATTAACAGAGTTTTTTTTACAATGTTAACTTGACTTCTTTAAAACATGAGCGACGTTATCTAATGGAATTATTTTGTTATAAGGGATTTTGTGGTCTTCTCATCTGTATCGTGTGGTCGTGGAAATGCTGGTCAGACCAACTACGGCTACTCCAATTCCTTAATGGAGAGGATCTGTGAAGAGAGAAAGAAGCTCGGCCTTCCAGCTCTGGCAATTCAATGGGGAGCTATTGCTGATGTGAGTGATATAATAGCTTATTTTACTCATATAACACGATACTCGATACTCATCGAACACATCACGCAGCCGCATCAGCTGACAGCCTACGCGAGCCTACGCCAGCTCTACGCGAGTCAGTGCCCGATCGCTTCGGTCGGTCGGAATAAGTACGACGTACGTAGCGACCAAAATATGTAGCAGCTCGTTCATCAGTTAACCATTGATGAATAATACTTATTGGTTGTTTTGCGAGTATTTCGTCGGTAATCAGAAGTACAAGTAAGCGGACGTCGTTCCCTAAAAAATTAAAAATCAAATTCTGAAAATCTCCGACAGGTGGGTTTGGTAGCTGACTTGCAAGACAAAGAAGTGCAACTTGAGATCGGAGGTACCCTGCAACAAAGAATATCTTCCTGCTTGACTGCCCTCGACAAGTTCATGAAGCAAGATGCTCCTATTGTGTCATCCATTGTGGTAGCTGAGAAGAAGGCTGGAGGCGAAGGATGTGCTAATGCTGTAGATGCAGTAGCTCAAATTTTAGGTAAGACTGTTTTTTGTAATGTATATTCCCAATTAGGCAATATTAAAATGATGATAATGATGTTCTACAAAAATTTTGTTTTATATAAATCTTAAATTCCAAAATTCCGTGTTACTTCATCAGGCATCAAGGATTTGAAGACTGTATCGCAACAAAGTTCTCTGGCTGAATTGGGTATGGACAGCATGATGGCTTTGGAGATCAACCAAACTTTAGAAAGAGAGTTCGAAATTTTTCTCACGGCCCAAGATATTAGAAACTTGACATTCACGAGGTAGGCCTTTACCATTATCTTATCGTGCTTTTGGTCAATATGAGGACCACAAGACCCAGACCTAGTCTATATTGCTTAGCGGATATAGCTTTTAAATTAGTCCATGTCTATAGACAACATGCTTTAGTTTTACTCCTTGCTAGAATATTTTTGTCATTTTTTCTGTTTTCTTTTTCACATAGAATTTAATCTGCCGAACGAACGAACTTGGTTCTTATCAAGTTCAGTATCGATAATTGACATCGCTTTTAAAATGAAACTAGTGAATAAAGATTCCTGAAGGTCATCGATAAGCTACATGGTCAACGAATTAATTTGTTTCTTAATTTAATGTCGCTGCAATATTTATACTAGAATCGTTCATCAAACGATAACTATTATTAATATTGAACTAGTCAGAGCCTGTTTCCCTTATTCATCAATGTCTTTTCCCAGATTAGCAGAGTTAACAGCACAACGTAAAGCTTCCTCTTCTTCATCAAAGTCTACCCCCACTAACTTGGAAAATATTGGCCTTCGTGTACTGATGAGGAACTTTGGAGATGAGAGAACAGCTTCACAACCTTATGTGCACATGCCTTCTATGGTCAGTGATGGAACCCAGGCAAGCATACATCACATTAAAATAAGTTTTTCTTCGAAAGCATACTATGAGACAGTTTTAAAATATAACCATTTGTCAATAATGGATTATCGTTCTGGCTTGGTTTTCCCAGGACGAGGGAGTTACCCACTCTTCGGACCACGTGATGTTCATGCTGCCAGGGCTAGAGGGTTTTGCGGCAACGCTGGAGAAGCTCTCTAGGAGTCTGGAGATAAAAGTCTGCGTTCTGCAGCTCGGCGTTGAGCACAAGAACGAGAAATTGGACCAAATGGTCAACAGGTTATACCAGGTAAGTATCTTATTTTTATTGAGTAATTCGCCCCTGATATTATAATATGTGGAGGAAAACAAAAATTTTTCATAAAAAATATTTCAAATATACTAACTTCTTTTATTTGTGTTTTTCGTAGACTGTGGTCTTGAAACTAGCCCCTGGTACTCCATTCTGGCTCTTAGGATACAGTTATGGTGCTCTTCTCACCTTGGGGCTGGCTTCTAGGCTGGAAAAATCAGGTAAGTAAATTAGTATAGTACATGACACAGATACCTTGGAAAAAGTTGAGTCGTCTTTACTAAGATTGCTCCAACACAAAGTAAACTTCAATTTACTTTCAGGTTTCAAAGGAACCGTATTCTGTCTGGACGGTTCTCCTGACTACCTTAAAGATATTATTATGAAGACTATGAATGTTAAAAACGACTTCCAACTACAGAACAGCTTGCTGTATCACACTTTGAGTATTATTGCTCCTAACATTAACATGACCAACGAGTTTATGGAGAAACTCAACGAGATCGAGTCTTATGAAGAAAGAATTGCTTTGACAGTCAAAATGACTCCAATACAGAATAGTTACTCTGACAAGTTCTTTGCAAACATCGCTAGGGCATGCTTCGATAGACTTAAGACAATTGTCGACTTTGACCCAAAGGCTTTTACGAAGCTAAAGTCTCCAATCATCCTCCTTCGTCCCAAAGAGAACCCGTCCTTCGTAGCTGTAGAAGAAAACTACGGTCTCGACAAGTACACAGAGAACAATGTCACCGTACACTTCCTCGAAGGTAACCACATCTCTATCATTGACAGCAAAGACTGCGCCGACGTTATTAACAAAGTTTTGGTTGAGAAGAAAGAAGAATATAGCGGTTAATAAAACGTAGTTACCAATATTGTATGATAGTATGAAAGCAAAGCCAATTAGAAAAAGATCATTTATTATAACTATAAGCTGCAAGGAAACGTTTAGTTTCTCCTAAAATGTTTACATTTAAACAATTAAAATGAACATTGTTTATTGTGGTAACGCGTTTTTATTATATTTTATAACGTGTTTCAAAAAATCAAAATCCTTTTTGAGGGGGAAAATCATTATATTCCCTCTCCCGCTCTAGATGAAGCGAGGAGTATCAGATTCTTACTGACTTAAAAACTATCTCGTTTTTTCTCCTGCTCTGGAGCTGTGATATAATATCATTCTGGTGTTGCGGATGTGCATGGGGCGCCAATTGCTTACCACTTACAGTTTAAATGAAGGCCAGATTGCTCACGTTTAGGCCTCGGATTGGTTGGTTAACTTAAAGCATTCCAATCAGAGCGTTAAACGTCATAAACGTAAAGCAAACTCGAAAAAAAACAATTTTTAATAAAAAAAGTCACGCAATAAAAGTTCCTACACTAAAAAGTAAAAAATAAGAATTTGAACTGCTGTAAAGAAATTAAATTTATAGGTAAACTTATTTGTCATTAATATTTTGCAAATATTCAAAATTTATTACTTATTTTTGGAGTCGGTGCCAGCATTTTTTTATGTTGAAACTTAATGTTAGTTAGCTTTTTAATATCCTGTGCTATTTTTCGTACTATTGCTTAAACATTTTCAATGTACTTAAAATGTGGCAGCAGGTTTTTGTAATATATTTTTTATTTAAAAAAATGTTTAAATCGGATATTTTTTGTAGAGAAGTCTAATCTGCATTTATGTCTTAATTAATATATATTTAAGTATGCAAATAGGTATTAAGTAGTGTTATAATTAAGTAAGAGGTAGTTTTTCAAGGGATTGTTGCCCATTTGTATTTCCTTGCCTGGGCTGGCACCGACTCCAAAAATAAGTAATAAATTTTGAATATTTGCAAAATATTAATGACAAATAAGTTTACCTATAAATTTAATTTCTTTACAGCAGTTCAAATTCTTATTTTTTACTTTTTAGTGTAGGAACTTTTGGGTGATTCTTTAAAATCGAGGGTTTTCGACTCATTGGTATGGCTTAATTATTTTTGTACAATATAATCTCAGTAAGGATATTAATTTGTCCGGGTAACCAAATGTAAAAACATATGTCAAAGGCACTCATTTGCACCTAGTGGCTTACGATTTAGAGCGTGCTGATTAATTGATCAGCCAGATGAATTATGAAAAAGGCAGAATAATGAGATTTTGCGCCAGATTAATTTGTATCATGCAGATAAATGATAATGTCACTTAATTTTCAATAGGTAGGTTTTATTAATTAAACTTTCATAATCACAGTTGCAATTTAAAAATAACAAAAAAATAATTTAAACATTAAATAAGTTGAGTATTACCTAAATCACAATTTTGATAGTCGCCTTTCGTTTCGAAGAAAATTCTCACAAACACTTTAAAATATAATCATGTAATCTTAGTCATACGTCTGCGCTAACGCTCTTAAAAAGGTAATAAATGCAAAATAATTCAGCCTTCATTTTCAATTGAGGAAACTTAAAATAATCTTCATTATAAACATAATCTTCATTATTAACAAAACTCATAATAACATACAACAGAAACAACAAAGATCTTGATTTTAAACTAAACCCCAAACTTAACCACTAATAATAAAAACAGTAAAATCTTCGTTGAAAAGTAAACACATAATAATAATGATAGTCATGAGAGTCAAAATCAGTCCTAATTTAAAAGAGGTTTCACTAACATGAGATCAAAGAATCGAATCTAGGAATATTTCTACCTAGATATCAAAAAATATTTAAATCTTCGTCATCAGAGTGTAATAAATACGGATTGACATTTTCTAAATCAATACTAAAATGTTGGTTTCCATCCCTTGAAAAAGTTATCTCCGAAATATTATCGAATGCATCTCCTGTAGATTCAATAAATCGATCTGCTCTATCGATCCCTTCTCCTTTAGTTTCATTTTTTTCATCACTGTTGATTCTTTTCCAATGGCATCTTGTATATTATGTATTCCTAATTTACTCTTACTATGTGAGCAGTTCCGTATTTTTATCAATCTCTGACAAATTACTCCCTTCTTTATTTGCTGTTTTGTTAGGCATCCCGCTAATATCTTGGTTTTCATTCGTTTTATTACTCATTGTCCAAAAAGATTCACCAATTTCTCTCAGTTGTCTTGTTGAATTAGCTAACGGTGTGATTGGCAAGATATGAGGAACTTCTTCAAAGCGATAAAACCCAAGATGGTTCATATGGTTGCAACAAATGGCTTTGTATAGGCATTCTGAATCAACGCAGCTCAATTTCCGAACGGCTATCACTGGTGATTCTAAGTTGCATACTGTTTGGTGCATTTTCATGCACCCTGAAAAAGCTTTAACTTTTTGTGGAAAAAGTAAGTCCCTCACTAACATTATACAATTTGCATAAACAAGTGTCTAGTGGTCGAATATCAGGCAGAAGAACAGGCTTCATCTTACAGAATGCTGAATAGCTAATAGTATAAGAAGAAGTTTTTAGAAACTTTTCATGCAGGTTAACAAGAGTGTCGCTAATGTACCGCTTTTGCTTATGAACTTTGTTTCTTGTTACACATTCCTTTTTTCCAGAGCAAAGCCGACTACTTTCGTCGTCTTCAAAAAATACTTCGATTTCTTTTCGCAGAACTTCAGGGATAGTTTTTAAGCTATGGATTTGTGTTTGTTTTACCTTTTGTTTCATTCTACTATTTCTTGTATTTCGATCGGTCAGAACTGGGGATATTACCTTTATTTTTGCTGGCATTATTCTTTGTATTTGTTTTTTATAACGTTCATTTTGTCGCTTCATTATTAGTATGATTTGTTTGAGATGATTTACTTCTTTATCTTTATTGCATCTGATACGTCTCGCGGCAGAAGAGACAGGTGAAGAACAGACAGGAGATTTTCTACAAAATGAATTAACCTCTCAATTAGGGAATAACCTACAGCTCTGTTCACTATTGCTACGCGTAATTCTAGATGGTCCTGGTACTGGTGACTCTAGTTCTCTGTTTATTGACTGGTCATGTAAAGGTGATTCATGAATGGGGTTTTTGATGCCTATCAGTTCAGCATCTGTCAAAATATTGGGACTTTGTGGTGGAGTGTTTTGTTCAAGTAAAGCCGCTGTTCTTTTTTCTTGCTTCTTTTTTAGATAATAAGTCTTAAAGTTTGTTCTCCATCTCTTTCTCTGTAGTCGTTGTTCCCTTGGAGGCATTTCATTTATTGGAAGCTGTTTCTTTTGTTCCTTTCTACGTATGTAGCTTTTTCGATTCTTTTCTTGTTTTTCTGCCAATAACTCTGCATTATTTTTTATGTTTTCGTAACTCTTCTTCTCTGCGACCCTCTTTTTTCGAAGTCTTTCTTCTCTAGTTTGTTTCTTTGGTTTTGCCATCTTGATTCCTAATATAGATCTGAAACAAGAAAACGGGGTTTTATTATAAAAATGAAAAGTGGGTAAAACTGCCACTTTCGCTCAGTCTACATCGGTGTGCCACTATATAGTCGGACGTCAGTTACCAAACTTTGGTCTATCACTATATATATTAACACAATAATGTTATTTTTTTTATTAATTCATAACTAAGTTCGTGTGAGGTTCGCCCATGAAAAGAAATCTAATTCATCTGGACATCTAAATTCATCTGGCCTTAAGAGCCAGATAAAGCCAGACTAATGCGAGCCAGATAAATTAGGAAATTGAAAATAATTAAACTCTGCTCTTTTATTTATAAAATTACAAAATAAATAGTGTAATAAATGTAAAATAAACAACGTGATTACACACTTTGGTTTTATATCAAAACATAAGGACATATGCAGAATTCATAAATTAAGACAGATTAATTATGCCGCTTACCTTACAATCGCCAGACGACAGGTTTCGATCGCACTTTTTCGCCAAATACACGCGACGCACGACCACTCAACGCCACGGATCGGCAATGACAAGAGCAGCCAATCACGAGTCGATTTTATTAAATGAAATACTTGATGTTTACGTTGAATTCATGCGTGGCAAAACTGCGCCAGACGAATTATCATTTTAGTCGGGGACAATTTTTAAAGTAAGGTTATTACGAGAATATACAAGTATCTTGAATTTAACTTTGATAATACTAAGAAATAAACATTCAAATATCGATAGAATTTACAATTATTTTTTTATTTCGACAATTGGTGACAGGAAACAAAATTATTTAACAAAAACCGACATTGGGACACAGCAGAATAATTAGAATTGACTGTTATCTGCAAACTTATTTAATATTCGTTTAAATAAATCGCATTAGTGATATAAGGCCACGATAGATATTAACTATTTACATAACACCTGCAAAGGATATTTCAATCGGACATTACTTTCTTATGTTCTTCAATGAAAATATTGTCAAAACTGTGGTTCAAAGAATCACCCTTTTATTGCTTGACTTTTTTTGAAGGCGGTTTTTTTTTTGTAAAAATTGTTTTTTATTTTTGGCCGTTTAGTGTTTTTTTATTATAATGTGTTATGGCAACGAAGTCAATATCGTTACTACATTTCTTTTGAAAAAGTTACCGATGTTATTTAAGTAGGAATACATATCATAGGTGCATTGTTATGCATGAAATACGTATGATTCTTATAGTTAAAATAAAAAAATAATCTTATCATAAATATATATTAGTTCTCGCAAAATAACAAAAAACTAGATATTTTCATCAACAGACAGATAAAGTTCAAAGATACCAACGCTATGCAATCTATTTTAGTATGATTAAATACATTCGTAAGTAGAAAAAAAGACCGATGCAATTATTGTTTTGTATCAATTGTAACCCATTAAATGAAGAAAACTAATTTGTTATTACTAAGAACATTCATATATAGACAAGTTGGTAAAAATACAAAAGACCACCGCTA